TCCCCCGCGCGTGTCCCCTCTCCGCCCACGCGCCCGACCGCGCCCGCGTGTCCCCTCTAACCACGGCCCACGCGTGCCCCCTCCCCCCACGTCCTGGCACCTTGACCAAGGAGCAGAGCAGACAGGCCCGCAGATGCCGCAGATCCTTGGGCACCGTCTCCAGCGCCATCACTCGCCCCACCCCCAACGGAAGAAGGCGAAGCCCCCGCGGACCATAGATATACACAACAGAACGGCTCGGTCACTTCCTGTGCCGGACAGGCGGACTTCCGGTCCCGCGCCACTCTCGGCGCCAGGCGCAAGCGCAGAATGCTTCCTGCCCGGGTGGGAGAGGCGCGAGCAAGAGGACGGCCCCTCCTCCGCGCGGGCGGGGCTTGGCAACGGGCCTGACCTCCCTTAGCAACCGGGCCTAGCATAGTGCCGACTCCGCGGCCCAGCCCGGCTATGGGGAACCGGGACCTGCGGCGTCGCTCCCGGAGCCCCGCGTCTGCCCCCGCCCCAGCAGCGCCGCGGAGCCCCCGGGTCTCTAGCCGCTTTGTCCGGACTCTTGCTAATTGAGCTGCCGGAGAACCTACGGACACCCGTGTAGCCCAGCCCCTGGAGTAGGGCGTGAGAGGCATTTCCCCAGCGAGTTACTCAGCTGTGTATTAGTCACTAGGTGATTGGGCCCAGATCCTCCCCGGCAGTTAGGACAAGTGACCTCTGAGCAGCTGGGCGTTAGTGACCCGGAATTCTGGAGTCTGTTAGTGGCTCTGGAACCTGTGTGTGGCTGGAGAAGAGAAGACCGGGCTCCACTTCATTCTTCTGGCAGCAAGACAGAACTACCCCTGCCTGGAGGAAGGGGAACAGTGCACAAGTGACTGGTTTCCGCTGAGATGAATCTGGCTTCTTTCCTCTGGCTCTTTTGGAGTTTGCCTGCACTTGCAGCATGTGTAGACATTCCTGAGCTAGTTTTAATCGAGCTAGTTCAGGTACCAATAGTAATGAAGCTGTGGCCGCACAGACTAGCTGCTGAAGCACAAACCCACTAGGGAGCCTGGGTATGTACCATGAGCCTCTATGGCCTGTGCTATGTTAGCTGGTTCATAATCCTCTGTGTAGTCCAGCCACAGGAAAATACAGAACCACTCTGTGTTAGAGGGGGTGATGCACAATAAAAAGTAAATTGCCATACTGCTCAAAGCCTCAGTCCTTCAGCTAATTCTCTCCTTTTTCTTTCTTCCTGCCCCTTTTCCTTTACTTTTCAGCTTTTGATTTGATTCACTTTTTTTCTTTCCCCTTTCTCTGTTTAACTCTCCCATCCTCCCACATGCTCATCTAATGCCCTTTCTTCACCTCCTCACTTTAGAGTATCAGGAGGGCAGAGATGAGGAAGCCATTTTGTTGCCCCAGGAATATGACTTGTCCTGTCTTTTTTCCTCAGGAGGGGGATGGGATGCCACCAAAGGGGGCTGTAGTCCACGAAAGCTTATGCTCTAATAAATTTGTTAGTCTCTAAGGTGCCACAAGTCCTCCTGTTCTTCTTTTTGCGGATACAGACTAACACGGCTGCTACTCTGAAACCTTTCACTTAACATTGTTTCGTTGCTGATCAATTAGGGAACATGCTCGTTTAAAGTTGTGCAATGCTCCCTTCTAACGTTGTTTGCAGCTGCCTGCTTTGTCCACTGCTTGCAGGAAGAGCAGCCCATTCAGCTAGCTGGTGGGGGCTTGGAACCAGGGGGCTTGGAACCGGCAGCCCCCCATCAGCTCCCTGCTCCCCTAAGTTCCTTGTGCAGCAGCTGCCCAGCAGGCTATCAATGAGCAGTTCAGCTGTCCCTCCCCCAACTGCCATGTGCTGCTTCTGCCCTCTGCCTTGGAGCTGCTCCCCGAGACTCCTGCTTGCTGTGCGGGGGCAGGGAAGGAAGTGGGGGGCTAATGTCAGGGCGTCCCCCTCCTCCCCACTTACCCCATCTTCCATAGAGCAGGGGACACACACCAGGGCTCAGGAGGGAGGGAACTTGCAGCAGCAGTGGTCTCAGCAAGCTGATCTAATTAACAAGGCTGTGTACTTAAAAGGGAATGCGCATCTCTCCCTCCATTCCTGCTGCCTTGTAAAGTGAGAGAGTTAACCCTTGAGGGCTCAGCCAAGGGCTAGTTCATCATTTAGCAGTAAGGCAAATATCCCACCCCTGACTCCTCCACCTCAACCAAGCTTCACAATCATCATCACTGTGTACCAGTATTAAATTGTTTGTTTAAAACATATACTGTGTGTGTGTGTGTGTGTGTATATGTGTGTGTGTGTGTGTTATATATATATATATATATATATATATATATAGTTTTTTGTCTGGTGAAAAAAATTCCCTGGAACCTAACTCCCTCATTTACATTAATTCTTATGGGGAAATTGGATTAGCTTAACATCATTTCGCTTAAAGTCGCATTTTTCAGCACATAACTACAACGTTAAGTGAGGAGTTCCTGTATCTGAAGAGAGGTGTCTCTGTTGTGTCTGATTCCAGCTCCTACTCATTGCAAGGAATGAGGGGTTTGTGCAGTGCTTTATTCAGGCTACTGGAGTTCCTGGAAATCAGCAGATTGCACAGGCAGCTAACACAGAGAACTACAGCTTGGGCTTGTCAGGAGGCAGAAGCAATCCTGCCTACTGTGCTATCTTCACAATGCTGGCTGCCCAAGGGGAGGGGGCAGGGTAAGTACAGTAGTCTCACGGAGAGAGACAGCTGGGCCAGGCTCCCAATAACCATCCCCCAAACCTAGCACACAGCTCCAGTGGCCCATCCCTCCTTGAGACACTACATGTGGGAGTAGATTCCCCCACATTCTGGTTGTGGGGGAGAAGGGAGAAAAAGTGAGCCAGGGTGGTTTTCACCCCGTCCACACCCACACCTTCAACAGTCAGCAGTCCCTCTCCCTGATGGGCTAACCAAGTTCTTCTGTTACCAGATAAGGTGCTAGCAGGCAGTACTACAGGTCCAGTTCCTATGCTGATGTGTGTTGTTACATTTGTACACAATAGCATTTTTTTTAAACAACTAGATTACCTAGAAGAAAACTACATTGAAAGAATATTATTTAAGTTGAGTATCAGAGGGGTAGCTGTGTTAGTCTGGATCTGTAAAAAGCAACAAAGAGTCTTGTGGCACCTTATAGACTAACAGACATTTTGGAGCATGAGCTTTCGTGGGTGAATACCCACTTCTTCCGATGCATGGGTATTCACCCATGAAAGCTTATGCTCCAATACGTCTGTTAATCTATAAGGTGCCACAGGACTCTTTGTCACTTATTTAAGTTGCAAAGTCTAGCACCTGACAGTTAGGAAATGCCAAATTTAGGGTTGCCCATGCAACCTTAATTTGCCTTCTTTGTGCATATGTATTGTGATAGAGTTTTTAATTACTTGGTCACATATTATTTTTCCTACAAGACCTCTGCCTCATTCAGTGCACAAGTTGGGTGCACAAAAGGACAGAATTAAAGTTGCACAGGCAACCAACTTTCAAGAACTTGAACTTTGCTCATGGGTGGACTGTACCTCCTGCTCCCACCTACAGCTAGGAGCTTGGGAGTATTCTTCTCATGAACATCAGAGGCCAACATGAGATCATTTGAAATAATTTATTTCTGTGAAATTGGAAGGAGGCACCTTCTCAGACCACAAGCCTCTGATGACTGTATATAGAACAAAAACACAAGAACAGACCTGATACGTGGATAAATATATTAGTAAATAAATATATTTCTGAGCATATCACCATATTCAAACATCTTTGTTTCCATCTCAGACATAAATATACAGATTTGCATATATAAAAAAACCTATTTTTCCTTTTTGGTTTGTAATTTACCCAAAACACCCAAGAGCCTTGCAGAACAGACTCAGCAAAAACTAAAAACCAATGTTCACATTTCAAAAGGATCTGAGCTTTACAAGACGAAGGAACAGAGGGCTGTTTGCATGAATGAAGGAGGCTATAGACACAGCTCCGGGAGCTGTGCCTGCTTGGGGCTCCTCTCAGTGACACTGGCTGTCCTGGGAAGAGCCGGGGCTCTGGGGAAGGGCTGAGGGTTCAGCAATGGGGAATGCTCATTTGAGAAGCTCTGGCTTTCACGTCTCCTCCCAGCGGGGGCCTCTGCTCTCTTAGGGCAAGGAACCCCTGAACCCCTGCCTTGGACAAACACTACCAACATTCAGTGCCTGATCCTGAGTGCTGCTGAGCTCCTGTGAGTCCCTTGGAGTTACAAGTCCATTTGGAGGTGCAAGTGTTCAGCACGGCAGGATTATTTTTCATTGATTCTTACATCATCCTCCCCTCTTAGATGGCTAAGGAATCTATTCCTCCTTTTATTTCATAGTCCCTTGGATTAACTCTTCCAAACAGAGCTCTTCCCCTTCTTCCCATCTGATAACCCATACGGACAGAACTGCAACCCCTCCCCCATCTAAACTACTTCCTAGATCTGTTCTCCATGCCCAGAGAGATCCTGAGGCTTTGATAGGTTGGTTTTTGAAAGAAAAGTAGCAGCATAAGGCCAGAAAATAAAAACACTTTAAAGTGGGAGCTGCCCAATGCAGCCCACCTAATACTGCAGTACAGAGCAGCAGGGGTCCTTTACGACAGAGCACACATTCCACTGGGCTTGAGAGTCCTCCTAAGGCAGGGGTTCTCAAACTGGGGGTTGGGACCCCTTGAGGTTACGAGGTTATTATGTGAGGGGTCAGCCTCCACCCCAAACCCCGCTTTGCCTCCAGCATTTATAATGGTGTTAAATTTGTAAAAAAGTGTTTTAATTGATAAGGGGGGTTGCACACAGAGGCTTGCTGTGTGAAAGGGGTCACCAGTACAAACGTTGGAGAACCGCTGTCCTAAAGGAAAGAGATGAATTCTATTAAACTGCGAATGAGAGGCCGAGTGGGCTCATCAGTGGGGGTTTAGCTCTGGGGTGGAAGTCCGCACTATGCAGGATCCTGCCCTTGGTCTGAAAGCAGCTTGGAGTTCAGGGCCCTCCTCTTTGTTAAGACAATTGAACAGCATTTGGCCGGGGCATGTGATGAACTGCATAAGAAGAGCCATAGGCCAGCTTGCACCGTAAGCAGAATCTTGGGAATCTAGCCCAGCTCCTGCTTTTACTTCTAGGTTAAAGGTGACCTGCTTGGGGGGAAGGGGGCATTGGGCTTGTGTCCTTTTCTTTCTTCTTTCTGATGGAGAAAGAAAGCCTGAAAGGATTAAGATACAAATCTGTTTTTGACCTTAGAAATCCAGACCCTCTCCATGCTGAAAGACTCTGCGGTTGGCTAGTGAAATGATGGTATCACAGGAGCCAACAGAATGAGAGCAGACAAACTGGGGGAAGAGCTTTTGGTTAGACTGCACCCCTCCCACACCCAAGCTCCCTCCCAGAGCCTTAGGCAGGTGTGGGGGGTGGGGTGAGACTTGGACCCATTCTGGGCACCACCAAAAATGATACAAACCTGCTGCCCCTGGGCGCAAACACCTCATGGTAGCAGCTGTGGGAAAATCTGTCCCCACATTAGGTCTCGGCCTGGTCTCTCCTACAGTAGAACATCAGAGTTACGAACTAACCAGTCAACCAGACATCTCATTTGGAAGCAGAAGTACCCAATCAGGCAGCAGCAGAGATAAAATAATAATAATAATAAAGCACATACAGTACAGTACTGTGTTAAACGTAAACTTAAAAAAAAAGGGAAAGCAGCATTTTTCTTCTGCATAGTAAAGTTTCAAAGCTGTATTTTGAAATAACAACCATCATGTTTTGTTCAGAGTTAGGAACATTTCGGTGTTACGAACAACCTCCATTCATAACCGAGGTGTTCATAACGCTGAGGTTCTACTGTAGTTAGAAACTGGCTTCAGCCCTGAAGCAGGGGTGGGGGGACTTCTAGCATTTTCATTAGCATGAGAACACTGGATATTTCTCATGTACATATAACTGTCCAACCCCATTTTGAATCTTGCTAAGTCCTTACATGACTTTTTGTAGCAGCGAGTTCCATGCATTGTATGAAAACGTATTTTGTTCGATCAGCTTTGAATATCACACTTTTAATTTCATCAAATGGCCCCTTGTTCTTGTGCTGTAAGACAGGGAGAGCAGAAGCTCCTGATCTCCCTTCTCAAGACCATTCATTAGTCTGATCTGTCTCTCTCTAAGGTAACAATCCCATCTTTCCACTCTCTTTTCACATGAGTTTTTCCAGTCCCTGATCATTCGCATCACCCTCGCCCTCTGAAACCCTTCACTTCCACAATATCTTTTCTGAGAGGGCTGATGAGGGCTGCACCATGTCCAGGGGAGGCTGCACCACTGAGTTCTATAATGGCATTATAATAGCTTCCTTATTATTCTCAGTGCCATTCTGTATGCATCTTCTTTGACCACAGCTGCACACCGAACTGAGGTCAAATGTAATAAGCATATCTTTCTAACAGATCTGCTCTAGCTCAGCTCTAGAGCAGTGTGATTCTGGAACAGCCTAGAGGAGTAGAGGGGCCAAACAACATCACTGGTTTTAAAATGTAGATTGATACATTTATGAATGGGATTATCTGACAGGCTTGGCTGCGATAGCAGGGGACTGGAGTCAAAGACCTAGAAGGTCCTTTCCAGTCCCCCAAATGGGGGAGGCATAGCTCAGTGGTTTGAGTATTGGCCTGCTAAACCCAGGGTTGTGAGTTCAATCCCTGAGGGGGCCACTTAGGGATCTGGGGCAAAAATCAGTACTTAGTCCTGCCTAGTGAAGGCAGGGGGCTGGACTCGATGACCTTTCAAGATCACTTCCAGTTCTATGAGATAGGTATATCTCCATATATATTAAGTTCTTATGTTGCAATAAGAAATCATGAGCTTGATGCAGGACTCACTGAGTGATGTTCTCTGGCTTGTGTTATACAGGAGCTCAGATTAGATGATCATAATCATAATGCTCCCTTCAGGCCTTAACGCTTGTGAATCCATGAATTCCTGGATTTCTAAGGTAAATACAAGCAACAACAAAAAAACCTCCCCAATTTTTTCCCCAATGTCTCCATCAGAAAGAAGCTAGAAAAGGACACAGCTGATTTTGAAGAATTTTTTTGCAGGTCACTGAAAAGAGCGTAAGTTTCCAGAAATGTTAGTTGGGATGGGGCTCTACTGAGCATTTACTGTCCCAGATGCTTTCCCGGGGACTTCAGTGTGCGTCTCACTGTGTCATGTGATGACGATGGCAATGATCACGATGAGGAAGGCAGAGAAGGAGGACCCAGGCTGGCTCATGGATTAAGAGGATAGTCTCTCATTTCTCCATGATTCCCATGCTTTCCAAAAAGATGCTTAGAGAGGCTTTGAAACATGCACCACAAGTGAGCTACTCAGCACAGTTACAGGGCTGGCCTTTATAACTACTTTGATAATTAAGCAAAGACTTAAGTGATGAATGAGGAATCTAATAACATTTCCAGGTAACGTAATGGATTCTGCGAAGATTCTCAGCCCCAGCTCTTTCCTGGAAATGCTAGCAGAATCCTGAATGTCCTCACTGCTCCTCCAGCTGGATCCTAGTATCGGCAAAACTACAAGTTGTCCCCACCCTGGCCTCAGCTGAAGGATAGTTAATTGCCAAGTGGCAGGGACCCTCAATTCCCACTGCAGTCAATGGAAGCATCTTGCAGGGTCAGGACCTAAGAGAGCTCCTGCAGTGTAGAAATGGAAGAGAGTATCTTGTGTTTAAGTTTGAGAAATAAGAGTATTCAGGGTTAGTGAAGTAGGCTGGCCTGACTTTGACCTAAGTGAGGAAATGAAAAAGGCAGAAGCTATTTGGCTATATAATGTCATCTCTGCAGCTTTTAGTCTCATAGGTCTGCCCATTTCCAAAAGCCTCCAAACTCCCACAGGTTTGTGACCATGCCAAAATACCGGTTTATGTCTACCCAGCAGGCTCTCCAGATAACGAACACTGGACACAGGGTTGGAATGAGTAAGTCCATGCCCCCAGAGTGTCTTCTGATCAGTGTGTGCTGTCCGTGCCTTAAAAAGAGAGAGGAGTGGTGGTTTTGTGTGACCACAATATAGTAAAGTGGGCGGGGAGCAGGCAGGAGGGGGCAGCATGGAGGTTACCAGCACATTTTGTTTCTCAGTGTGGGGCAGACTAGGACTGTTACTACACTACCTGCTCAGAGATACAGGAAATAAGTCACTGATTCCAGTTCTTGTTCGTTTCCTGAATGTTTTGTCCACTCTGGCTCTCTGTAGTAGGCAGAGGAGTTCATCTTTCATTAAACAGAATGTTCGTACACATCTTGGATCTCCTCCTTGGATCCTGCATTCAAAAAAGAAAATGTAAGTTATAGGTATCCCAACCCCCAAGGCCCAACTCCAACGGGGGTTTTGATCCAGAGAACAACAAATACCCCCAGCTTCCTGCCAGCATGTCCTGGGGGAACCTTCCTGTCCCCACCTGCATAGTCAGTCTAACCTTCCCAGGTAATGAATAGTCCAAGCTATAGCTAAGGATAAAACCAAACTGCTCTTATAAGTGCCTGGTTCGCTCAGTATCAGAGGGGTAGCCGTGTTAGTCTGAATCTGTAAAAAGCAACAGAGGGTCCTGTGGCACCTTTAAGACTAACAGAAGTATTGGGAGCATAAGCTTGCATCTGAAGAAGTGAGGTTCTTACCCACGAAAGCTTATGCTCCCAATACTTCTGTTAATCTTAAAGGTGCCACAGGACCCTCTGTTGGTTCGCTCAGAACTTTCTGAAACCACTTACCTTGGATGTGACACTTTCCGGCCTTTGTGCCAGCACCAAAGGGGGTTCGGTTGTTGGTGTTTTAGGGAGGCTGAGTTTGTTTTAATTTGGAGTAAAATACATTGAGCCATTTTTGAATTATTAGTGATTGACAATAACAATTATTTGTATACCCAGAGTGCCCCTGACCAAACCCTCCATGCCTTGGGCTGTACAGCAGAGTCAACTTGACTGCAGTACAAGGAGTATACAAGTTCTTTGTGTGTGGATGCAAGCGGGTGTGTTGTGTGTCAAGAATGTACTGGGGGAAAGCTACATGGAAAGTTGTGTAATTGTTTCTGAGTTGACAATGAAGTCAAGCCCCTGCAGAGGCAGAGTTTGAGCATGAACTCCAGGCTTGGGTGCTCTGCTGAGGTAGTGGTAGGGCCTGACAAGTGCCCATTTCTCTCTGAATTATCCAGGCACTGCATGGTTTACATAGACATGTTTCAGCCTATAGTCTGCTCACAGCCTATTTGCCAGGACTATTGCTTCAAATATTCACTATCTCTGCTGTGTGACTAGGCACATAAATCACATGGGATTGTTTCTCCCCCATCACTGAGTGACTCGCAAATCATAGAATCATAAAGAAGATCAGGGTTGGAAGAGACCTCAGGAGGTCATCTAGTCCAACCCCCTGCTCAAAGCAGGACCAATCCCCAACTAAATCATCCCAGCCAGGGCTTTGTCAAGCCGGGCCTTAAAAACCTCTAAGGATGGAGACTCCACCACCTCCCTAGGTAACCCATTCCAGTTCTTCAGCATCCTCCTAGTGAAATAGTTTTTCCTAATATCCAACCTAGACCATCCCACAAGGTGCTCTCACAATGGATACACAAGTATGTCCAGAACAAGTGCACATCTATCCGAGTCTTTACAACGTTCTCCTTGCCCCACATTTATTGAGAATGAAAGGAAACAGTTACTTGTCTTAATATTTGTGGAAAGTAAATACAAAAGGTTGTGAAACCTGTCACAGCAAATTCAGTGTCTGCAAATACTTCACTGCTTTGGAAATGGGACCAGACAAAATACAGGCAGAAAATAAGCAAAGAAATTTAGCGTGAAAAAAGCAGCTACTAGATTTGGGAAAATTAATCCCAAACAGTTGCAATGCAAAAGGAGTGCTCTGTCTCTGCATATATGTACATAAATAGATAATAGATGAGGTGCCAGTAGGTAGTGCTTAAAAATAGGCAGCAGTGTTCCTGGGTTTTGCAGGACCAATAAAACCTGTTGTTAAGCACTGCAGATTGTTTCTCATATGCAATATTTAAATGCAGCTCGCAATGTGGAGTCAGAGATTTTACTTATCGAATTCTACTTTGTGGCTGACCAGAGGCCCTGAGTCACTTTGGCATTCCATGCCCATCTGCAATGCCAGTGCATGGGTCTGTCTGTGAAGCAAGCATTCTACGGCCTCGTGGACAAACGCTGAAGCAGCTGCAAGGCTAATATTCTCCCGTGTCCCATTAGTGTCACCCCAGGACAGAGAAGTGTCCACACACAGTCCAGCTTCACAAACCAGACCAGGAAATAACTGAAACACCGTAAGTGCTTCTGCTTTGGTCAGAATCAAGTGACAAGCTGCGGCTGTTGGAAGCGATGGACGATGTAATGATCTACAAGGTAGCAGACAGTTCCAGCCTGTAATAAAGAATCAATATGGGGATTTTTGTAAAGGTCTTGGATTCCTTCCCGGAGAATATCACTTGCAAATCAGCCCTAAAATGAAACTGCTACATGCACCACACAGAGTAGCAGTTCCTATGAAGGAAGAACTTAAAAACCAGCTTGACAACTTTGTGGAGCGGGGAGTCTAAAAGAAAGTTAAATGATTGACAGACTGCACAGCAGTCCAGTAGCTATTAAAACACTAGACAAACTCTGGTATTCACCCCATACCCCTCAGTGAAGCTCCAAAACTCTCCCATTGTACTTTCTCAGCCACTGGAGGGATCCTGCCCAGCCTCACAATGGAGCTGTTCTAGTCAGACACCACAGATGGCTTCTGGCAGGTGAAACGTGTGACAAACATCTGGACTCCTTTAGGCAGATATAGATGGCTGGGAAGGCCATTTGATATTTCTCTGTCTCCAGAAGAGCACCAGGGATGTCACCATGAAGTGCTAGAGGGACTCAGGGAGTTCATGTAATTGCAAATGGCATATAAGGGCTTGTCTACACAGCCCCACAGTGTGGACTATGGGGGTGTGAATTGCAGTGCACACCAAAATGTTGTGCTGTAACTGTCCCCATGTAGACCCTGCTAGCATGAACTAAAACGTACCTTGTTTGCATTACCGTCGTCCTGTTTCAAGCAGGACTGTTTTGGCTGTAGAGGATTGATTGTAGAGACACCCTCGCAGCGGCTAATGCTGAGCACAATCATGTCCTGATTGCGGTGTTCAGCAGAGAATTTCTAGTGAGCCTGAAACTGGCTAATAAAAAGCAGTCTGTGCCTTCTACCTGTGCCACATACCAGACACCTTTGAACAGCAGAGAGCTGAAAACCAGACTGGAGACACCTCAGGCAGTTTGGGAAATGGCCATCCAGACTGTCCAGATCAGAAGGAAGAGGTGGTGCTCTTTAGTATTCGGGAATATTGGAGATACTTAGAAGAAAGAGAATCGACTTGCTGGGCAGTAACTGAAGTTCTTCGAGCTGTGTTGTTCACATATGTATTCCCCTCAAGATGTGTATGCATCCATGTGCTCTCGATTGGAGATTTTTGCTAGTTGTGTCCGTTGGTCTATGCAGGTGCCCTGAACACCCTCATGCCCCGTACCGAGGGCATAAAGGGTGGAGCTGGACCAACTGCCATTTCAGTCCCCTCTCTACTGCAGACCTGGAAGGTGTAATAGGACGTTGAAGCAGAAGGGAAGGAGGGAGGGTCATGGACTAGACATATGAAACAACACATCCCAAAGAACTCCAGTTACTGTTCAGGTAAGTAACTTCCCTTTCTTCTCAAGTGATTGTCCCTATGTATATTCCACTCATGATGACTCCCAAGCAATGACCTGAATAAGAAGGTGGGAGCTTGGAGTCTTAACCAGAGACCTTTACTGAAAGTCTAGATGCCTCTGTCACAGCACAGTGTCTAGGTGTGTGTGGATCCCCAGGTGGTAGCTTTACAAATGTCTGCAATGGGGACATTTTATAAGGAAGCATCTAAATGGGCCCTATTATTTGGTCATTATAATTTGACTACCTTGTAGCACAAATTGATACATTACAAAGCTCATTTTGTCAGCCTCTCTGTTGATATGGGGTTTCCCTTCATCCTTTCAGCACAGAAAACAAACAGTCTTGGAGAAGACCAAAAGGGTCTGGTCCGCTGAAAATAAAATGCTAAGGGCCTTTTAATGTCTTAAGTGTGTAACTTGGCTTCACCACGGTTAGTATGGGGGTCTGAAAAAAATATGGGCACATGGATGACCTGATTTAGATGCAACTTCGACACGGTTTTTGGAATGAACTTTGGATATGGTCTCTGCGATACCTGATCTGGACAAAAAATGCACACTGGGGGTCCGCCATCTGAGCCCCTAGTTCACCTACCTCATTGCAGATGTTATTGCGATGAGGAAGGAAGTTTTCACGGATAAGTGCTGTAAATAGCATGTAGTCAAAGGTTCAAAACAGGGACCCATAAGGCCTGCTAAGACTCCATTTAAACCCCAGGGGTTCCCACATGGAGGAAATACTCTCACTTTTTAAAATCTGGTAGTGGTAGGATGGGAAAACACAGTGTATTCCTCTACAGCTGGTTGGTGGCACTAACAGCAGCTTGTGCATTCAGCATCACATGACAGTCACAGCTATCCAGTCACCAGGATTACAACACACTGGCAGATAGATCTGGGCAAGAATGCCTTGACAGACCATGAATGGGAAATAAGACCTGAAATAACTGATTGAGACACCTGTGTTCTTCAGGAACAGCATTTACTCCAAGATCAAAGGAATTTTGGCATCCAAAGGCATTAGGTGATGTTCACACCAAACGACAAATATTCTCCACTTTGAATTACTAAGTCTTTTTAGTGAAGACTTTCCCGCTATTGATTAGTATGTTAAGTAGTTCAGAAGAACATTTACTTTTTCTACTTCGGACATCTATCCAAAGCCCATGCAGTTTCATGGAGGGTGTGTAGGTTGGGATATTGGATTAGATAGTTGTTCTAAGATACTAGGTCTGGGTTTAATGGTAGAAGTATTGGTGGCAACTCGAATGAGTTGTGGGAAGCAATACTGTCTTGGTCATACTGGAACTATCAAGATAATCTTTGCTGCATCCTGCCTGACTTTCTGGAGCTCAAAGGAACTGGTGGGAATATATATATCTGAGCATCTGAACATGAAAGGAGCAGTGCAGCCCCTAGGGACCCCACACTGAATCCCCATATGGACTAGAAAGTTGGACATTTCTTGCCCTCGTGCATTGCAAACAAGTCAATTGAGGAGAGATCTCACCTCTTGAAGATGAACTGAATCATTGAATACTTTATTTCCCGTCATGGTCTGTCAAGGAATTCTTGCTCGGATCTATCTGCCAGTCTGGTCTGTACTCCTGGTGAATGGATAGCTGTGACTGTCATGTGATGCTGAATGCACAAGTTCCAGTGTTGCACTGCTTCTCTGCACAGGGTTGACAAATCCCCTCCCTGCCTGTTTACACAGACCATGGAAGTTGTATTGCCTATCATGATCTGAATGGAACAACCCCACATGAATGGTAAGAACTCCTTGAAGGTGTTTTGGATTGTTCTGAGCCCCACAGTATTTATGTGGAGTTGAGACTCTTGAGGCATTTGCCTGCACTAAATGATGTTCCAGGTGGGCTCCCTAACCCAAAGAGCAGCATCTATAACTATCATCTCCATTGAAAGGAGCAGGAAGCAAGGGACTCCTGTACCTAGGCTGAGGGGGGGCTTTCTACCAACTGAGTCAGAGTAGAATCTTCTGTGGGATTGTTAGGAACCTAGCCAATTTGTGTTGGTTTGGAATGTAGACTGACTTCAACCAGTTCTGCATACATTTTAGGTGAAGTCTGGCATGCAGTGCTACAAAGATGCTAGAGGCCATGTGTCCTAACAAGGTGAAACAAATGCTTGATGTTGTCTGAGGCACCTTCTGCAACTGTGCGATCAGACTTGTCATCATCTGGAAACTGGGCTGAGCTAAATAGTCCATCAGGGCTCTGCTAAATTCTGCCCATTGGGATGGTACTAAGGGCAGCCTTTTCTGCGTTTACCTTTAGGCTCAGGGTACTGAAGAGATTAAGAATGGTCTGGATGTAATTCTGCATATCCTGATGAGACCTCTCCTTGATGAGCCTGTGATCCAAATATGGGTGTACTCAGAATGGATGAGGAAGGTAGGTGGAGTGTAAAACTGGATCACATAACCAAACATTAGGATTTCTCTGACCCATTCCTCTGATGTTATGAAGTTCCCAGAATGATGATATGTAAAGAGAAGGTTTCCAATGGGTGTTAGAGCAAAAGATTAATAGGTTCCAAGGCCAGAAGGGACCATTGTGATCATCTAGTCTGACTTTCTGTATGGCACGGGCTAGAGAACTTACCCAAAATGATTCCTAGAGCCAATCTTTGAGAAAAACATCTAATCCTAATTTTAAAATGGTCAGTGACGGAGAATCCACCAGGACACTTGGTAAATTGTTCCAGTGGTTAATTACCTTCACTGTCAAAAAATTATATTTTATTTCCAATCTGAATTTGTTTATCTTCAACATCCAGCCATTGGATTATATTATGCCTTTCTCTTCTAGATTGAAGAGCCTGTTATTAAATATTTATTCCCCATGTAGATACTTATAGATTGTAATCAAGTCAACCCTTAACCTTCCTTTGTTAAGCTAAATAGATTGAACATTTTGAGTTTATTGATATAAGGCATGTTGTCAAATCCTTTAATCTTCTTGTGGCTCTTCTCTGAACCCTCTCAAATTTATCAACATCCTTCTTGAATTGTGGGCATCAGAAGGGGATACAGTATTCCAGCAGTGGTCGTACCAGTGCCAAATACAGATGTAAAATAACCTCTCTACTCCTACTCAGGATTCCCATCTATGCATCCCAGGGTCACATTAGCTCTTTTAGCCACAGCATCCCACTGTAAGCTCATGTTCAGCTGACTACCACAATCCCCAAATCTCCTTCAGAGTCACTGTTTCCCAGGATAGAGCCCCCCCCCATCATGTAAATGGCCTATGTTCTTTGTTCCTAGATGTATACATTTATATTTAGCCATATTAAAACGCATAGTGTTTGCTTGTGCCCAGGTTATCAAGCTTTCCAGATCACTCTGTATCAGTGACCTGTCCTCTTCATCGTTTACAATGCCCCCAATTTTTGTGTTACTGGCAAACTTTATCAGAGTCATTAGCAAACTTTATCAATTGATGTTTTCTTCCAGGTCATTGATTAAAATGTTAAATAATGTGGGGTCAAGAACCGATCTCTGCAGGACCCCTCCCTGGAGGCATGCTTGCTTGCTGGTTCACTGTTCGCTGTTCTTTTGAGACTTCTCAGTTAGCCAGTTTTTAATCCATTTAATGTTTGCCAATTATCTGGACCTACTGATTTAAAAATATCTAACTTTGGTAGCTTCTGTGTAACATCCTCCAGAGCTACTAGTGGAATGGAGAGTGTTATCAGCATCATATAATGCGACTATATCATCTGCTTTTTCTCCAAATACAAAACAGAAACATTTATTGAACATTTCAGACTCTTCTGCCTTATTATTGACAATCCTGCCATTTCCATCGAGTAATGGACCAATACCATTGTCAGGATTCTTTTTGTTCCTAAAATATTTAAAAAACTCTTTTTAACTCTGCTGCTCATAGATTGATTTCTTCCCCTACTTCCCTTATTAATTTTCTACACTTCCCAACTTCTGATTTATATTAATTACTATCAACATCCCCTTTTGTGTGTGTGTGTGTGTGTGTAATTTGTTTCCCTCTGTGTACGGAGCAGGGGAGTGG